AAGTTATAATAAAATTGCATAAACTGTTGCTTAGAAATATTGCCGAGATATAGTGGTAAGATCATAGGCTAGACCTGCAAGTCCAAATGTAAGACATTACTTTGGAGCTCAATGCTCAGTGCTTTTAGAATGCTTTTATCTTCAAATGTCACTATGCAGGCAATTGTAATAAGAAATTATTCGAAAAACATCTCTCCAGACACCAGATGCTGAATGTTCACAAACCATATAATGCAAGTTCCTGGACAGTGAATCTCTCATATATTATTAGACTCCTGGATGGTGGATTGACTCCAACAGCAAATGTCAAACTACTTGTGACTGATTGTTCTCGGAAGCAAGCAGTGTTTGTTGCTTATGTAGATATTCACCTCAAACAACGAACAATAATGTATATCATACATACTGTATATCAGAATGATCGTCGTGTTGAAGTATCCAGGCATGAAAAACACCATTTAGGAGCGCAGCGCTCGGTATTTTAAACTCTTTAAATGAATGCTGAAAATTGTAATTTATCGGATGTCAACATTCCACCCACAGTAAACAGTCTGCAAGTTGCATTTTTAAGGAAGCCAGAATGCATTGCCAGGATGGTCTAAACAGCAACTTATATATTACAAATATCTCCATATAGTCACCAGATACACAAAACAGTTAAATCCAATGAAATGTGGGCTTATGCTGGACTCTATTGTTTTAAATATAAAAGTCTGGACACAACGTTCATCAAATGTCTTTTCTTTATTGACCATTGAAGGACACAGTAATTTAAGAATTCTATTACAACCACCTTCAGTTAGCGGCTATCTGGATCAGCATATCCTCAGCAACTGCTATGGAGGCTGTACCTGGACCAAAGATTGTGGGCTAGCCTTCTGGCACTGGACTTTCCAGACCTGTGTGTACTGTTGTTTTTCTTCTGTTGACCTAATGGTTGCTGGTCTATTTTACTCATTGTTGGTTAGTGTGTTCTTTTTCACCTATTATCCTGGTGGATGGCTGGTTGGCTCTCCAGTCTCACTGGCAGGGGCCCATTCCTCCTTCAGTCAGGAGTTCCCCTTGGCAGTGGTTTCTTTTAACCTTCTCAGCAACTTCAGGTTGATCCTGTGTCCTCCCCTTGGTCATGTCCGTTCATCTGCCTTTGCAGAGGGGTTTTTTGACATCTAGTTTTATTTAGCACTAACTCCTTCAAATATCTCTGACACACGATATTCCTCTAAATATTTATGGGTCTATCAGTGGATGTTGGTTATCCCTCAGTTGGACTGCTTTTGGATGTCCTGACTAATAAAATTCCAAAAATTCCTCAATGAACAATAAAGAAAATAAGATTTTTGTACTTACGAGTACTCGCCCAAATACTCAGCATCGGCACCGATACTGTCCAGCCTGCCCTCGGGCCTAGGCCTGGGGGTCAAATACTCAAGTGCAGAAAGTGCTCTGTTAGGCCTCAAGCCTGGAGGAGGCCTTTGCTGCTGATTTAAGGAGGAGAACCAGGGAAGCTGATAGCTGCTGGAGGTTAGGGTTGCCACCTTTTCTTCCATCGAAACCCGAACACTCTAGCGACACACAGAAATTTTCTTGGAAGAATGAGTTGTGCCTTTTTCATATGTAAATAGCGCCACCCCTTCATATTTAAATATCACAGTTGAGACTATTTTCAGTGGGGGGCCAGTAGCCCCTATCTTAATTTTGGTTTCTCCTGTGTGCCTGACATCTTGTGTCCGGGTTTCTGCTGCCATGAAACCCGAACACAGCATTCAAAACCCGAACTGTCCGGGTGAATCCTGGACAGGTGGCAACCCTACTGGAGGTGCCTGGAATTAAATGGACCTCAGGGTCAAGTCAGGTGTCTCTCCTACTGAAGATTCTGTGCCAATCCCTATTTAACGGTTGCTCATATACTCACAGTCAGCTAGTGCTCCTATTGAATCTGCACTGGAATTCTGAAAGGGGCCCGTGAGTCTGGAGTCTGTCTATTTTTCTCATGGATGTCCTAAGCCCTATACCATATATCTTCCAGCTTTGATGTTATAATAAAGTTCTTCAGCATTATACTTCTGGCCTGGAACTCAGCTCTGTTGGTCACGGGAAGAGTGTGGTTAATGCTATTGGGGCAGCTGGTTGCTAAAATCCCCTAGACAGGCTATGGATGACCCGGGTATTCCAGCAGCTCCTTAGGGGGTGCACTACAATTTATATAGTGATACATGGGTTGGATTGTCATCACTGAAGCCTCTTGGCACACAGCTATTGGCAAAATCTGGTAGGATCAAATTTCCTTGTTTTTGCCCCAAGTTACACCATTGCAGTATACACCAAAACATTAACACCCTCACGTAACGAATGTATTAATAGATGCCACATCTCTGCTAACTCATTCATACATTTGGTGAGTATATTGTATCCAGAAAACAGATGTAGGAATACCTTATTATCTGCACTGCCATCTATCACAGATTGTATATGTTCATTCCAAGCAATCAAAAGCGCTATAGCAAAAAAATCGCCGAGTGGCATATTTGGTAAATTATGACGAGAAGTTATTTCATAAATCACTGACTTTGTTCAGTCGCACCTTTTTGGAACCATTTCCCATAAAGAGACGTCCACAGAAGCGGTCAGTGCTGCATGAAATACGAGTAAATGTGTGGAGGATATAATGGAACAGATGTATCAGCAGGTTAAGCTGTCCGAAAGTATAGGGTGCAGGCACCAATTACCAAATTGTAATTGATGATAACATTCCGCCTTTTGTCTGCAGCCGAAAATTGGCATTGCACGTCTAGTCGAACTTGTTTTTAGATAGAGGGCACAGCTGCTTCTACCGTAATGTTGGCCATCTGGCTCTTTTCTATGAAGTTTTACATGATTATACTATATTGTGCATATAAAAAAGCTTTCATTTCTAAAGGGTTGGTACAGTCAGCAGCTCTACCTGGTTTTTTGATGTCCTACCCCTTAGATCTTCAGCATCTAGTCACATGACCTCAACATGGGTCAGTGCCTTTGACAACTTGTGTTGCACAGTCCCTCCACTCTTTGTAGGACAGACGCCAAGTCCCTTCCTTGGCCTTCAATAGGGTAGCTAACCATGCTTGACCCTCAACAGCAAACCTTTAGGGCTTGTTCACACCAATTGCGAAGCTTTCCAGAGCGGTAGCCGCTGGAACGCACCGCTCTTGGGTGGGAGGGGGCGTGGCAGTGCATTGAAGTCAATGGCACCGCAGCCACCCCCCTCTGCCAGCAGTGCGAACGGACGCGTGGCAAAACATTGCGTGCGTTCCGTTCCACTGCAAATGCAAAAAATGCTGCTTGCTCAATTTTTTGCGTTTGCAGTGGAACGGAACGCAGGCAATGTTTTGCCACGCATCCAATTGAGGGGGGGCGTGGCTTTGGTGCCATTGACTTCAATGCACCGCCACGCCCCCTCCCATAATTGAACGCAGGGGGACGTTTTGTGAGCGATTGCGGTGCGTTCCAACAGCTCCCGCTCTGGAACGCACTGCAATTGGTGTGATCAAGCCCTCAAGGAACCCGAATGCAGCTGTCAGCTTGCAAAGATTTACCCGGCCCTCTGAGACGGCACAGTGCCTAATTTTACAGCCAGTCCCCTCACATTTCATCTCTGGGGCCACACCTTACCAGATCTCCTTCCATGATGGGCATGAGCCAGCAAACTTAATGACAGCTCATAATCACTTCTATAAAAAAAGGGGGATATGTATAGAGTGCCAATTCAATAAAGTAAAAAATACCAATTTGAGCCAAAGTTTTTCTTTACTGAAAATCCAGTATTAGCATCGACCCCTTTTCGGGGGACAAGATATCTCCACCTTCATCAGGGCTGTAGTGAGTAAATGTAGGTAGGAATATGCTGAAATAAGGCTGTTAGTTAAATGAGTTGTAAAGTCCCAGCATATACTATTCCATTATGACATCAGCATTGTAATAGGAATGCATACTGGATTTGGGTTTGATAATACAATCAAAGCTTATGTAGCGCCCTCTAAAATGTCGCTATTCAATTTAGAGTTTCCTGGACTGTAATCAGTCTAGATACTGATTATACAGAGCTCTGCATTCTATAGGTGTCCCTGAGTCTGCTGGATTGATTGCTCCTCCTGTTGCTGAGGAAAAGGGAGCCTTGGCATACAGTGAGGGAGGATCCACCCTCAGGTTATGACTATGCACATGACTCTAGCCAATCCCTGAGTAGGATGACGCAGAGGCATGGTTGAGGGCAGGTAATAAAAGGTCTGGGGACACTGTGGAGAGTTCTCTTCCCCCTAGGGGCCTCGCCCTAGGAGGTCTGTGTGAGATGCAGGAAACTGGCCTGGGCCTCAGCACATAGCAGGTGCTGAGGGACCTAGAGGCCTAAGGATACACTGATACTTTGCTGGGCCCATGCACGTGGCAGGTGATGGGTGCCTTGTTCTAAGAAGATACTACCACTAAACTGGAGTGCTCCTTGGCAGTTG